GGCTCAGCAGTTTGAGAAGCACCACAGGTTGGCACAAGAACATGCAAGAGCGAGTAAAGAAGCAAGGAGGACATTCTCTTTCAGCAGTAAAAGGTGCTAGATTGGCTCTGACAATTTGACTAACTACACACTGAGCAGTGTAAAATACAAGTGACTTTTCCTAAATTGAATAGGCTTAATGGTGAATATCCTCACATAACCTATAGTACGAAGGCTATAAGCTAAAAAGAAAAAAAGCTTTAATAAATCAAAGAGAACTGAAAAACACAAAACATCCTCTTGCAGCTCTGAAGAATCTAAGTATACCATCTTAAAGAAACAGGTGTCAAGGGAAGCAAGACACAGAAGAGTTAGAGACCATTTAGCCTAGTTTCAATTTCCTGAAAAAACAAGTAGCTAGATTCTTAACCACCTAGAAAATAAGATGGTAAAAGCTAACAAATATGGACATGTTAAAAAACCCAAGCAAACTAGCCTGCCTTTCTATGACAAGATAGGCTTTTTCAGAGGACCAGTACACACCTTCATATTTGTATTATGTTCTCAAAATTGCTACAGAAACATGGTCTAGTAACAGTGGGCAGTTTTAATTTGTGTGTTCACATAAATATCAATATGAAAGGACCAATTTTGTGGCACACAGCAAGGATCTTCCCTTAGAACACAACATATGCTTATGAAACCTGCGTGTAAGACAAAGCTGCAAGCCTACTACAGGAAAGGATCAAAGATCTTTGATAAACTGGAGAAGGGATCTGAATACACAGGATATAATTCAACATGAACAAAAGCAAAGAACTACACTCAGATATATATGATTAACTGCATAAACATGAAAAGGGGAGTGACTCACTCAGCAGGAGCTGCTGCTACAGCAGATCGCAAACTGCTCTGAAAAAGGGAGGAATAGGTAAGAAAGAGCAATAATTTGCAAGACACTTGAAGCAATCTTCTTGTACTCCATCACAACAATATATCAGGTAGACATTACCCATTTTCATTACTGTATTTTAAGAAAAATAAGGTGACTGAAGAAAGCATAAGGGGAGAGCAGTAAGGTTGATAAGGATATAACATGTAATGGTAAGCCGAAATAACTCAAATTACTTAAATGGAGGGGGGGCAAGGAGCTGTTAAATCTTCAGGTACAGAGAACACTGAAAGAAAAGCATAAACTGCCTCGTCCATTAAAGATCAGAATAAGAGGACTGGCAGGAGGATTAAGATAAGATTAAAAATAAGAAAAAAAGATTTTTCAACAGGTTTCTTTGGTAAGTGTGGAATCACCTAGAGATCTCCAGCAAATACATCAGATAAGCATTTGTCAGATATGGCAAATCTTGTCTTGAAGCACAGGAATTATTGGGTATTGTTCAGCATTTTACTTCACCTGTACTAAGAAGCTGCCTCTGGGTCAAGACTGAAGGACAGTAAAATCAACCTACTAAGCGTGGTTATGGTTAAACATGAAGTGTGTTCTTTGGGGTTTCACCAGGGCAATAAAACTTGACACTTGCTCAGCTTGAGTACACAGTAATGGGTTCAGAATATTAGAGCATTTGCCTCAATAGCACTAAAAAGCTTGACTGAAGTGATGTAAGTTGCAAGTAGGTGGCAAAAGCTGATTATTTATGTTCTTTGAAATCCCTCTAAGAGCCTGACAAGTAAGATTCATAGCTGTCATGTAACCAATGGAGGTGTTGCCATCTACATGAATGATGGAGTCCAGGGATGTACCTACAGCGGACAGTTTTCCACCACCTGAAGAGAGTGACATACTGGCTATAAGGATACCCAGGTTAATTCCATTTTAACCAAATTACAGAAATAGTCTGACTAAGCCTTACAGACAGTTCACAGAAACAGAGCTTTTCCACTAACCCAAAAAAATTTTAACAATTAAGGAGTACCTACACATAGGCCGAAGCAAGGTGACTGAAAACTCCCCAATTCCTCTCCCCCCAAAATTTAAAAGCTAAACCAGTTCCAACACAAACTCCTCTCTTGTGCCAGCTGTAACTATTCTCACAAGCTTCTGCCTGCTTCTAATCTCCTAACAAGTGAAACTACATTACTTCTGTCTGACAGGTATATTGGGAAGCTGAGAGTTCATTTTCTACTCTACAATTGTGAAAACTAAAGTAAATTACTTGAGGTTTAGACTTTGCAGGTAGACTTCGGAAAACTCCAATAGTTTTGATCTCACCAACAGAATTTACTGTGGAATCTTTTTAGATCTTTTTAAATACTAACCCTTGTCAGACTGATTAAACGTGCTACAAGAAGTTCTCAGAAACAACTAAAGAACATCATTACTAAAGTGAGCCTCATTTCAGTGTTTTACTTAAAATTAGCAAAGCAATACCCTTTCTTAAGGCTAAAGAAGGTTGAGACAGATATTCAAAGCAGACTTAATAAAACTAAGTTCCTACTTAGACATCAGAAAACAACTCACCTCTCAACTGAGACTATACAACTGCTAGACATTGCTCAGGCAGCTCAATACAACAGGGAACACAGCAGCACAGAGCTTTTGCGTTGTAGGAACAGAAAGCTACGTTTAAAATTTCATTGAAATATACTGCAACGGCACATGAGAATCCCTTTAAAACATCCACAAAGAACTCAACAAGACAGCAGAATATTATCAATCACACAAAATGTAAGAAGTTATGCAATCATTTAGTACATTTTGTAAAGAAATGTAGAGGCAGAAAACTGAAAGAGAGAAATAACTGATACTAATGAATCAGAAACTTACACACACAAAAAATACAGCTGAAGGTTAAAACTACAAAGTTCACAACTCTCAGATTCAAAAAAGTCCTGTCATGTCGCCGGAGGACGAACACTCTGACACAGTATGACTGTTACTGCTAGACTCTCATATTCCTTCCCAGACACCTTTGATACTGGCCCCAGTCAGAAAGAAGAATACTAAGCTAACAAAACATTTCAACTGGAGCAGATGAGACGAGTAAGACAAAATAGGCAGCCAGAATAAGACAAAAAATAATGAAATAAGATGGAAAAATAGAATCGATAGCTAGGCAACCAAGATACTGACTTAAATATTCCAGGAAACAGCAATGTGGTGCAGAAAATTATATAAGTCTGGTGTATGCCTGTATACATTATTTATACACACTACACATTTTATGTTAGCAAAAACACAAGGAGCCAAGTGTTTTCTGTCAAGCAACCAAACTCTGACAAGTGACAAAATGCTATGAAAACTAACTGAAAAGCTGAGAGAAAACAAAGGATACCAGAACTAAAAACTTCCAGTCAAGTAAAATATAGGTTAGAAGACTATGAAGTTGACCAGTTGAATGCTATAATAATACAGTTTATTTTCTTTCATCTACGACATTCTCCCTCTGTTCCTCCTTCACTTACAGAAAAGTGGGAAATTATGATCTCAACCCCAATGACCACAGGAGTCATTTAACTACAGATATTGGTGATACTACTGTAATAGCAAGTTAATCCATCCTTTCAGTAAAATAATTTTATTGTAATTCACAAAAATAAAACATGGGCTTTTCTTAACTGTTTCTTTAGGGCAGATACTAGCACACAGCTATGTTTGCATTAATGCTGCCCAACACAGCAGGTTGGACTTAACATACTTACAAGGACAGATCCAGCCTTTTACATACAGAATGACCTAAGATGGAGCAGTTCTGGGTAGCTACCCATAATTCTGTGATTTTTACTACTAAAGTAATGATTCAGTTTACATACTAAAAAAAAAATAGTGAATATATTTCACAGAATATTCATATTCCATGGCAGTGAATGTTTTCTGAACCAGTACTGCAAATGTTCTCTTGCAGAAACATTTCAGTTCTGCATATCCTTGTGGATAACGCACACTTGAAATTTGTCAATAAATGCAGTGTTCCATGCAAATGTTTACGTAGCCAAAGAAAAAAAAAAAAAACGTTTTTCATCAAAAAGATGACAGTATAACTTATACTTGAACTCTTCATAATTGCCTAAAACGTGAAGACTACAATAGCTTAAAAGTGTTCCATACAACATCTAAATTTACAAATAGGGAGTTAAACAGGCAATTGTGAGCTAAAGTTGATAGAATGAAAGACAGGATTGAGTTTGTTCACAAATTGTTTCAGAATATCTGTATGGGCTTTACATAATACCCTCATCACCAAGGTGGCAAACTAAGAAAGTTAAAATCTTTTTTTCCCTGAACTTAAAAGACCTGAAATATAAATAATTTATATGCAACAGTAATCTATCTTCTACAGCAAGTTAATAAATAGCAGAGGTGACGTTTAATCAGTAGCTGTTTTTGAGTATACAGTCATTTCTCTCCAGAAAATAATAATAAAAAAAACAATAATTAAAAAAAGAGAGATTCAAAAGCTGCCTGTCATTTTGCCACGAGATTCAAAAGCCGCCAGCCAGTTTGCAACGTAATTTAACAGCTTTCAAGAGAATTCAAGTAACTGAAGGGGAATGCGAAGGAGTAAGGATCAAATTAGTAGCTACATTAACCACCGTTAAGTTCTCTTTTAAGGATGGATTTAGATGCCTCAAACTACAAATGCAACTAATTAACTATGCCCTACATGAGTTTTACATTTAACATTGTTCTAACGTATTAAAGTATTTCAGTTTTATGAAGAAGTTCATACATATAAACTACAGTTCAGATGCCCAGATAGCTGCAGCTAAATCATTTTAACCCTTCAAAACTCACGGTTAAGCTTCACCTACAGAAACAAATCCAAAGAAACCTACAGACACACACGCATGCAAATGCTTCCCCTCCCCCATAAAATCCAATTTTGTCTCAGCTAATAGGCTCCTTATCTTTAATACTGCAGAACTTATTAAAGAATTTCCTTGTTTCTAGTCTTCTGCGTCATCCACACAGCACAGCTAATAGCACCTGTATTCTAAAAAAACTCATTCACAGTTGTTTGAAACTACTATATGACTTTAGAAAAGTAAAATGTATAACCTCTTACCTGAGCATGAAAATTTGACATAGTCGTTGTCTCTATATCTTTCTTTCCCAAAATCTCCATTTTCACTGGTGAATTGGGAAAATTAAATGAAAAGTAGTCTAAAAAGTCAGGTAAATAAGTAGCTGCCCCATGAACAATACCCATTACATAGTAAGCTGCACAGTTTTCATTTTCACTAAAAACCAGACCCACAAACTCTTCTGCAAATCTCTCCATCTCCACAGGAGATAAGTGGGAGAGTTCATTACTGTAGGCATGGATAACTGATGCACCTCCGTTAGGCTGGTGCTCAACATGAATCAGCTGTTTGAACTCCAATGTGTCCAGCCTTTTGAGTTTATTTTGAACCCGTGGCTCCTTTAACGAGACAAATGGAAACTCACTGTTCTCTGGTATCTTGGACTCACAGTCCTTCTTGGGATCCATATTTTTCCCATTGAAATCCTTAAGATGATCATCTATGATGCCTTTGGCTTCCTGATCCTCAATATCAGAAACCAATCCTGAACAGATGGTCTGAATGGACTTGCTGTACATTTTTGGACGCTTCCTCTTCTCGTTCTCTTTATGTTTCTTTTTCTTTTTCTTCTTAACTTTTTTAATCTGTAGCTCTTCTGCATTAGTTTTTGGTTTCTCCTTCCCACCTGTTGAGATGAAAAACAGATCTCTTAAGTATCTTCATATTCAAAATATGTATTTAAAGATCTGAAGTTACCAAAACTGTCACCTTGGCACACAAAGACCAGAGACCAATACAGAGGGTCACAATGTGTATCTTACTGAAAATGATTAGTGAGACACCTGCCATGTTCACATTATGACTGACAAATAAGCGGGGGGGGGGGGGGGGGGGGCGCCAAAAAACACACC